GGGATTGACTGTATAGCCAATACATCCTTAATGCAATCCTTCAAAGACAGAGAGAACGAAACGAAATGAAAATAACGTAATAACTTTATAAGTTTTCCTCAAAAAGCTAACTAATTTTTAATTCCTGGTAAAATAATCTACAATAACTATGCTGTTTTTACTTCTACCTGTCCTTACAATTTTAAATGTAATATTTTTAATACGTTTCATAAAATACAAGTGGATGGAAATATTTTATAACGAAGTGCTTGTACAAATTGTTCCATTCCATGATAAATTAATCTTCCGTTTTTCCATGACTTCGTGAGTGAAACATGATGCTGTCCGAACAAATCTGTTCGGTTTATCATGCCCTATTGTGATTTACCATCACACCACGTACATGTATGTATTTTTTTTAGGTAATAATCGATTCACTCGGTTCTGCATTATTTAATCGGTCGACAAGTTTTTTTTACGCTCCAGTTCACGATGTTTGTTTTAATTTTCCGCTTGTCCACCTTCCGTGTCGGACCACTTTTCACGGGGTAAGCGTGATACAGGAAATAATAGTCGAATCCTACATTATCCAAACACAATTCATTCCCTGATGCTTGCTATACTGCGACTACAAACATCTTTCGACCATTTCACATACCATGTTTCACGAATCATGTACAGTCTCGTGGTTGCCTGGAATTTGTATTTGAACAATTTTCCTCTTTGAAATTGGCCAACGATACAAAATACTCTCGCGGTAAAAGAGATCCGAGGATATCAAGGGGAGTTCTAGAAACGGACAAATGAACAAGGGACTCGATTAAAGAGCCCTCGCAAAGCACTCAAACCACTTTGTTCCGAGTATTCTCTCTATAATTAAATCGAGTAAGAAACGATATAACTCCCGCACCGTACAGAAAACCACGGGAGGTCTATGAACATCGTAATTAGAAAGAAATTAGCTTCGTATTTTCAGTCTTTGAGATACGACGGTGTGCAATACTTCGTGTCACACCAAACAGTTTAAGAATCATGGGATCCGTAATCAAAGCTTACAAATTCAATATGAATCAACGTTCCTGATTTGATTTAATCGGCTTCACTGAATCGCAAGCGTTCGGCTGGCTAGAGTTCAGGTTTCTGTGGGTTTCATAATGGTACCGACTGGTTAATTAGTTAGTTATGCGTAAGAGTACAAAATTGACCACATAAGCATAACTTCGTAAATTAACGTCCCCCGACGACGCGAACCCGCCTAATGTTTACGTAATATTAGCGGAACGCTACTGCACTTTTGCTAGTAATTAAATTTTTCCTTTCCGATTCTAATGGAAGTACTCTTGTTGGGAAATGAGATAACTTGGTCATTCCGATAATTCCTTCGAGCGACGACGAGACCGAAGTCGTTATCACGACTATCTCACACATCGTCGATCGAAATCATCGATCGGAGGTGAGGGTCCGATAGTCTTTAAGAGGCGATAAACCTTTGGATTGGATCACGTGCCCGCGGCAAATCGTTCTCTGCGAATAAACTGTGAAAGCAAAAAGAGAATAACGAGATTAGACGGAAACAGGCTCTCCTACGCTTTATTCCAAGTAATTAGATTACCGAACGTAACGCGGCTTATAAATGGCGACAGCGTGGAAATTAACTTCAAGATGTAAAATGTCTCGTTGAAAAATATTTAAAAAATATAATGTTAGAATACGTAAAATACACGAGAGGAGAAAAACAGAAGTTAATTATTTTTCTTTCGATATCGATGATCCGCGTACGTGGAAGAAGTAGAAGTTTCAAGAGAAATTACTCATATACTTGGTTTGCGAGACACCGCGAGCTAAGCGAAAAGAACTTCTCATAACTTATCGGTCGAAACTTTTTAAATTATTACTGTCGACCCTTAATTTCCTAGCTGCCGCGGTGCGACTTAATTAGAGTTAAAAAAGAAAAATGAAATCGCCGCGGCGGATCTGTTTAAACCGTCACGTAACGGGAACCTGAAATGCCTCGACTCGATATCACTTCGCTGGGACCAGCCAACTCGCCATAATTAGCTTCCAGTTTGGCGAAACTAGAATATTGTACACGATCACGGAGTATATTTTTCGTAGTCACACAAGCTGTGCGAACCTATCATTTTAACAATACTCGTTAGCTTCGGATTATGCGCAACCTTGACTGTGACTCGCGTGCTCAGTCGTAATTAATTCTACGCGTTTATATGAGCGCAATAAAAATGTGCGGGAAGTAAGAATGATATCCGCAAATCCTAATTGCCAGTTAACGAAGAGTAATGCGGCCCGAAAATTGCCATTCAAGCCGAATAAAAAAAAAATTAGCAGACATATCCGAACGAATCACTCTACCCCGTATGTGCGTTCAATGTAACTATGGTAGTTAAGTATAAAAGTTTTAATCACGCTAAAAGCTTCGCGTCTTCGGTCAAAACCACTCAAATAAATGGATCAAGAGGGAGCGAAGACGGTCGGGTACGTAAGGCAAGG